GTGCTTCTCCTTGGCTAAGCGGGGTGAAGAGAGGACCGACCGGGTTCGTGGGCGTAGGACTTTAAGTGGGAGGAAGAAAGGTGCGCAGGATAGCGCAAAACGGATCCAAGACTCAGATGATCAAGAAAGAGAAAAGGCGCGCGGGGCGAGACAGAGAGAGAGAGAGGGGAAAACGGTTACAGAGGGAGAGTGAGTGCAGGCGCGAAAGGAGCGTCGAAGATGGTGAGGGGAGCAGAAAGGGGGAAGCTCGCTTGCATGGCGCCGATCACAAATGCAAAAAGAGGCACCAAAACAGTCACAGATTCCTAAGTACTATGCTAATTCAAAAATTGAAATCACCATATCCACGCGTGAAGTAGGCGCGGGAAAAAAAAGGACAGTCCGACATCCATTCGTATTCCCACCAAATTCCCAGAGTTTTTCGCGACGTGGTCGATAACATTCATGCACAAAAAGGACACTTCGGGTTCCGTTCATTTCGGAATTTCTAACTGCCGAGCCAAATTCCTAGCGGGCTTGCTAAAGCGCGCGTAATTCCCATGCATTTCCCAAATTATGACAAACGGAATTTCAAGAACCAATGAGTCTGAAATCACGGGTCCCAGCAAAGCACCTTTAATCAGAAAGAAAACAGGGAGGGGCCTTGTAGGCCTGAGCAGAATTCGAAAAAAAAAAAAGAGAGAACGGAAGATGGGGCAGGTTCAGAAGCTGGTACGTCACAGGTACATGAACAATTTGGTACGTGGCAAGGTTGGATACTACCTTACGTTGGACCGGTACCGGGTACAGATGCAAGATTGGCACAGGGGTCTGGTCCCACTTAAACGGACTTGAGGTAGCTCAACCTTGCGACAAAGTTACCGTGAATAAAAAATCAAAACAAATGCTAACAGAAACCAATCAAATGCTGTAAAAGCTTTCATGCATATTTTCAAAAGATATGTCTCAGAGAAATTCTCCACATACTTCGTCATGCTGGACACTGGGACTTCAGTATGCAGCTAAATGAAAATGAACAGTGCTGCATGGCCCGGTACACTCCCCACCCAAATAAAGGAACCCAGTTTGAGCCTCCAATGCCAAACACGCCCTCCTCACCACTCTCCGTCAGAATGCTCTCCCACAAGGAGGTAATGATGGGCTGCCATACCTTGAGTCAGGGAAGCTACAGTCTTCCCCCAAATACAACGTACCGTCATTATAGCTGAATTTGGGGTATCTTTCAGTCTAAATACAGCTATAATCACTGTACGTTGTATTCGGGGGAAGAAGGTAGCTCTATGGACATTGCTGTTCAAGCCCAAACCCAAAGGGCCAAAGCATGCAAGAAAATGGATTTTGAGGGACAAAGAAGAAGAAAATAATTGTAGTAGATGAAATGCTTCAAATCTCAAAGATTTGTGCCGGATATCTCCCCGCCTATGGATTTCCAGCTAAATGCAGGGCTCTGTTCCCATCTGCCGCGTGGTTTTAAACTGTACGCTGAGCTACCTTGACGTCGTAAGTGGGACCTAGCCCCAGCTATCGGCGCAACCCCCATCTTTAAAATAGGTACAGAATCTACAGATACAAGTCTCTGAAAAAAAAACAGGTGTCTTTACTGACACTGACTCACATAGGTGTGGCAGTATATGTATGGGACTGCATCACCTTGCTGTGCGAGGACGCCACATATCAAAATCAAGAAAACCAAAGTTGGCAACAAAAGAGGGGAAACTACACGGGAGTCACAGAAACAAGTTTTGATTGCACTACGGGCCAAGATACAGTTTCGAATTGCAGTTCGGACAATGTATACAACCCAGCTTTCTGGCCAGGTAGGGTGCCCGAAGTGCAATTGCAAACTGTATCTTGCCCCATAGTGCAATTATAACTCGGTTTTGTGACTCTAGTGAAGCTACCCCTTTTAAACAAAAAAAAAAGGCAGTGAATGACAAGCAGGGAAAATTACATGCTCCCAACCTGTCACATTCACAAGAGGAAACTTCGCCATATTCTACCGCGGAAAAATCTTATCCTTCTTACATGGATCAAACAGAACTGCCCGGTAAACCGTAGGCAGAGAGAGAGAAGACGACAACAAACGAGGGGCTGTGACAAACTGTTTCGTCGGAGTTTCACCGACTCATCGGGAGGCTGAACCCTCAACAGTCTGCAGAATCCCCTCACTGATTACACTGTAAATGATAATCTACCTTAACCAAAATCAAAGTAGACTATCACTCACCCACACCAGATGGAAAACTCTACAGACTGTCGGTTC